TAATATTCAGGCATATAACTCACATCAATATTCAGGCATATAACTCACGCTAATATTTTAGGCATATAATTCACGTTAATAGTTCAGGCATATAACTCACGCTAATATTTCAGGCATATAACTCACATTAATAATTCAGGCATATAATTCACGTTAATATTTCAGGCATAAAACTTACATTAATATTTCAGGCATATAACTCACATTACGAATTCAGGCATACAACTCACACTAATAGTTCAGGAATATAACTCAGGCTAATATTTCATTTTCAGGCATATAACTCACGTTAATATTTTAGGCATATAACTCACATTTATATTTCAGGCATATAACTCACACTAATATTTCAGGCATATAACTCACGCTAATAATTCAGACATATAACTCACGTTAATATTTCAGGCATATAACTCACGTTAATATTTCAGTCATATAACTTACGTTAATAATTCAGGCATATAACTCACACTAATAATTCAGGCATATAACTCACATTAATATTTAAGGCATATAACTCACATTAATATTTCAGGCATATAACTCACGCTATAATTCAGGCATATAACTCTTGCTAATATTTCAGGCATATACTCACGCTTATATTTCAGGCATATAACTCACGCTAATAATTCAGGCATATAACTAACGTTAATAATTCAGGCATATAACTCACAATAATATTCAGGCCTATAACTCACATTAATATTCAGGCATATAACTCACATTAATATTTCAGGCATATAACCCACATAAATATTTCAGGCATATAACTCACGCTATAATTCAGGCATATAACTCATTAATATTTCAGGCATATTACTCACATTAATAATTCAGGCTTATAACTCACGTTAATATTTCAGGCATATAACCCACATAAATATTTCAGGCATATAACTCACGCTATAATTCAGGCATATAACTCACATTAATATTTCAGGCATATAACTCTCGCTAATAATTCAGGCATATAACTCACATTAATATTTCAGGCATATAACCCACATTAATATTCAGGCATATAACTCACAATAATATTCAGGCATATAACTCACATTAATATTCAGGCATATAACTCACGCTAATATTTCAGGCATATAACTCACGCTAATAATTCAGGCATATAACTCACGCTAATATTCAGGCATATAACTCACATCAATATTCAGGCATATAACTCACGCTAATATTTTAGGCATATAATTCACGTTAATAGTTTAGGCATATAACTCACGCTAATATTTCAGGCATATAACTCACATTAATAATTCAGGCATATAATTCACGTTAATATTTCAGGCATAAAACTTACATTAATATTTCAGGCATATAACTCACATTAATAATTCAGGCATATAACTCACGCTAATAGTTCAGGCATATAACTCACGCTAATATTTGATTTTCAGGCATATAACTCACGTTAATATTTTAGGCATATAACTCACGCTAATATTTCAGGCATATAACTCACGCTAATAATTCAGGCATATAACTCACGTTAATAATTCAGGCATATAACTCATGTTAATATTTCAGGCATATAATTCACGTTAATATTTCAGGCATATAACTCACGCTAATAATTCAGGCATATAACTTATGCTAATAATTCAGGCATATAACTCACGCTAATAATTTAGGCTTATAACTCATGCTAATATTTCAGGCATATAACTCACGTTAATATTTTAAGCATATAACTCACGCTAATAATTCAGGCAATTAGTTCACGTTATCATTCGCTAATATAAATTTGGTCAAAAGAATTTGAATTGTAAGCAAATTGTTACCTAATTAATACAGAATTAAGAAAACTTTTTCAGTAATCCAGAGTCCGCGACGAAATAACTCCATATAGACTGTAGTGGTCGATATAAGTGGTTGACCAATCACAACACGCACAGTGTCCGTGCTGTAATCTAGGGTGTGTCCAACTTAATTCTGTTCGAGTCTAAAACAGAGGATTTATAATTATGGATTGAATTGAATTGTTCAATAAACTAATTTCATTCGAGGCCAAACAATGAAACTTTATCAGAAGACGATTTTCATATTATAGCAACTGTCCTAAACATCACAAACACCCAAATAACAAAAATAATGCATTCCAATTCCAAGCTTATGACTGTAGGAAGCCTTAATCTTTAAATTCTTGCAAAAAATCAGAATGGTGTTCACCAAACCAAAAAATGTAATTCAGATGGGGGATAAAAACAAAAAACCCTATTATTCTGGTACAAGACTTAGAATTCCAGAAATCGACTGCTCACTTTAGTAACCCTTTAACCCCTTATCGGTTTACAAATTAACTTGTTTTTTTTTAAAAGTTTTGCGTAACTTAAGAACCCAGAAAACAAGTTCAAGCATGTTTTTGCTTGTTTTTGTTTTTTTTCAGTGTAGATTTTGATAGGTATAGAGAGGATACGCAAAAATTAGACAAAATTGTGGGACCCCCTTGACTTTTATACAAACTTAACATTTTGGTGATTTTCGTTCAAAATATAATTTATAATTTACATTTAAATGGATAAAATTATTGTTTTAGTATAATTTTGGCAGCTTTTTTGAGCGGTCGTTATCGACCGCTTCGCACATGTGAGGGACATAACTGTAGGGCAAAATAGACGGCTTCTCCAATTAGCAAAGTAATATAAGCTGCACTGTTCTTTATATTTTCATTGATAATGCGAGATAAGAAGATAGGGATGGGAAGGGATGGATGGGATGGCCTCCGTGTGTCAAGATATTTAAACTACAAACTACAAACAAGCTGTTTTCAATGTTTAACTATAGATATATTTACTTTTAATAGAAAATTATAAACTTTGCTTTGTTCCGGAGCGGTCGATATAATAAAAATCCCTTTTTCTTTCAACATTCAATAAGTATACAATGTCATAATCTTTTATTGGTTTTATTCTCAGATAAACTTGGTATTTTATGGGTTGGCTGAGTTTCAGTTTCAGCTAGTAAAATGAAACTTTATGGCAGTTTGAATCTTCGAATTCTTCAGATTTAGATTTCTCGGGTTCAAATATTTCTCCGGGTTCCTGTTTACCCTGGTCGGTTAGGACGGGTTTAAAACTTAACTCCGACTGGGATCCTTGCAAGGGTTCTTCGGGCAAGGTTTTATAAACCTGGATCTTTGAAGATTTTCGTCCATTATTTGACGGGTTTCTTCCGGCCATTTTTTCCACTTCGATCGAATTAGCCCTGTTGCATGTAGCATAATATTGTTCGGGGTATAACCATGCATCCAGGGACAGTTTTCGAGGCACTTCAACTTTTCTGCTTTGATATAATTCGAATGATTTTGTTCTAGACCTGATAGGATTTTTCCTGGGATTCTCGCGGAGACGAAATACGTCCAAACTTTTTGATATTTTTCTTAGATTCGGAACACTTTTCTTTATGGGTTTCTGGACTGGGGATGTTTCATCATAGTTCAAGAGATTTAGTTTATCTGTTGAAACTTCTAGGACGGGAGATTTTTCCTCCAAATCATTCAATTCGTCCTTTTTTTCTTTCTCATCTTTCTCATCAACCTCTTCCTCCTCATTGTTGTTCAGTTGAGCAGGTTTGATCTCCTGGATGCTGGACAGTTTTCTCTTCTCTCCGTACTCTTTCATTAACCCTGAGACACATAATCCGCCTTGCTCCATACGTCTGGGATACGCGTCCTGACACAGATTCTCCGGTAGAAGTTCAAACTTAAAGGATTTATTTAGCTTTAATCCGTTAAGAAGTTTACTTTCCTTGTAAAATATCATGCCCCCAGAGGGAAACTTGTCTTGCAGAACATTTTCCTGGTTCAGATCTGTTTCGCGGATTTTTTCTTTATTGTTTTCCCGCATTTCTCCTTGATCTCTTTGATCTTTACCTTCTTTTAATGATTCCTCGAAAGAAGCATTACTATAGGAGTCCGTCGCTTCTTTTTTACTTTGCTTTCTCTGCTGTTCATCATTCATCTTCTTCTCTTGAATATCGTTGATTATTATCTTTTCAATGTTTCCATATTTTCGTCCGTCATTCTCCAAGAACATTTTCCCGGAGTTTTCGATCTTTTTAAACCTAGACACCCGGAAGAATAAAAATTATTTTGAAGGCCAACTTAAATGGAATTGAGTCTTTGTCACAAACTACGATTTTCTAATCTCTTTATCTTTGCAACCCAATGTTAATGCCTTTAGATATTTCAAATTATGAATTCTGGTAGATGAAATAATGCAGGGCTGAACAAAATTTTGGTTTATGGTAAAGACCCAATTATTTTTCAAGTAAAAACAACTTTGGAATAAATTACATTTTTTCCCGAAGAGCACATTTTTTAAAAAAATTAACAAAGTTGTCCAAATTTTGAAATTCTTTTTCTTGTCTTTCTTAATGGAAACATTGCTATGTATGTAAACTTAAGGGTTGGGGGGAAAGGGTTTAAAAACATTTTACTGTGATATGTTTGGACGGCCTGGGAAAGTCCAGTCCTTTGTTTATAATCTTTGTTTTTGTTTTGAAAACCTACGTCACACAGTACCTTTAGTATAGATACTTTGATGTAAACCACTTTCTTTATTGAACATTCAACTTTGCCATAGATCCTTCTATCTAATATCAGTCTAGTATGTCATACAAATAGGCTCAATATTTTGTTTACAAATTTTAAACTTTGACAAATAATTTCCATTTTTAGATTGAATTTATTTTTTATTACTTTTCCGTGCCTGGTATTTTTCAAACTATTTTTTTCTTCTTCTTCTGATGCTGGTGAACCAAGTGCACTGAAATAAATTCAGATTTTGGAGAGTATTTTTGAAATTGTAACAGTGCTCGTTTAAACCTCTGTCATCAAGAATGAATGAAACATTCTCGTTTTAAGTGTGGAATTCTGACAATATTCTTCGTTATTTCTGCCGTGTAAATACGCAAGTAAATTTAACAGAGAAACCAAATTTAAACATAATCAATTTTCATTTTCTATAATAAGGGAGCCCATTAAACTTTTCTATCATCTTAGAAAAAGACCATTTTACATACCAAGTTAAATAAGATTAAACATTTTTTCAAGTTTTTATTCTTACATAAATATTAAAGAATGGATATGATAAAAAACATCAGCCTTTTCTATGATTTTCTAAAAACCAACATTTTTTTTATTTTTTGTAGTGTTAATTTGACATAAAAAGATGCTTGGATTTATTTTATTTCGATTTATTAATAATTTAAACATGTGTTTTTCAAATGCTTAAAAATCTATTTAAACATTTTCCGAAAAGCTTCTGTAAGTCATTTGGTCAAATTGTTTAAGGGACAATTACTGGATTTTAATTGGCTTTATACTTCAATATACTTCAATATACTTCAATAGCGTCATGCACAATGCACAATGATACCCTTTGAACCTGGGCAAATATTATAAGAATCTCAATTTTTCAACGATCAGAAATTGGAAATTTTAAATTACGATTTCACTTCTAAAATTTCAATTTGATGTAACAGTGACAAGTAAGGAAATTGCCGGAATTAATTTATTTTCAAGATATCTTGTGTTAAAGGTACTATATGCTCATATCAAAATACGTGTACGGTCCCTTTACCTACCTAAAAGATGCAACTGATGACATGAAGATTGTAAAGATGGATGTAGAACTTGAAATCTTCTTGAGATCAGGTTTTATATTCTCCGCAGTGTAGATTGACCCTGTACTGGAACTATGGATCAGATGGGTCAACTTCTCCGAGATATAAACTTTAACCTGAGCAGAACCTAAACTTGAAACTGAGCCTGAACCTGCTCCTAGTTCTGAAACTGAACCTGAATCCAAGTATCGTAAACCATAAAACCGTTATCTGATTAAAAATTACGAAGATTTTGTAATTTTTTTAAAGGAGTCAAATTCTGTTATTTCCTTAATTGTCTAAGCAAAACCGCAAATAAAATCATTAACTTGTTAATTTACAGACAGAGAACGAACAAATATCTCCATAATGAAGGTTTAAGATTTCCTCTATAAATAAGACATGTAACTTTTTAAATGAAGAGTTAATAGAATTTTTAATGTTGACACTCCCTTTATTTAATACGATCCTTGACCTGAACCTGCTCCTTCTCCTCTTGTTCCTGCTACTGCTTCTCCTCCTCCTGTTCCATACCCACTTGCTCCTGCTCCTCCTGCTATTGAACAGTTTCCAGACACAGAACGAGCTAAGCTTGCTCTTTCATGATACTAAAATCAAAATAGGTCAAGTCAGGTCAAGTCAGGTCAAGTCAGGTCAAGTCAGGTCAAGTCAGGTCAAGTCCTTAGACAAGCCGCTCCCTCCTGATTTACGTTAAAGTTCCTTAATTAGATTGACCCCCACCACCACTTTAAACATTTTACATATAAACTAGTTAGTTTTTAATCTTCATTCGACAGAAAAAATCTCAATTAATAAACAACAACAACAGTATATTTGAAGAAGGTTGAGTATACATGGAGAAGGTTGGGGATATACTTGTAGAAGTTTGAGTATTCCTGGAGAAGGTTTATTATACCTAGAGAAGGTTGAGAATATACCTGGAGAAGGTTGAGGATATACCTGGAGAAGGTTGAGTATATCAGTAGGTATATAAATCCAACAAGGATGATCTAGCGTATGCCCAATCCAAGACTAAAATAAAAAATTTTTTTTAGATATTCCAAAAATAAAAAAAAATAATATTAATAGAAGAAAAGTCATTCTTTTACTATTGCATGTTTTCATGTCGTAATTATTCAACATTGTAGAAAAGGTGTCTAAAAAACTTAACTCAGTCAGTTTGTATATAGTTGATTTTTCATAATATGTTTTAATTGTTATGATCTGAGAGTTACTTATAAAAACATTTATTCCTGTTTCGAGGAGTTTTGGTAACGAAGACGACATTTTCATATTTTCCAGGAATGTTCGAAAACAAGTTGTAAGCTAAATATTATTTTTAAAAACAAAATCAAAACTATTATGAAATATCAAATATATTCGAATGTGTCAAAAAACAATCGATGACCATAGGTTGTGATATCTAAATGATTTGTTTGAAATTAAATTGATTTTTTCACTTTCTAAGTCGTATGTTGCAATTTTTTTCAATTTGTATGGACGCTAAGTTATTCGGTATGAGACGTCTTTAACAATTTTTTCCTTATAGACGCAACAGATAGAAGTAAGATTAGAGCGATCAAAAGCGCTTTTTTATCGCATTAAGCCTATACCCCCTTTCATTTTTCGCGAACACTCCCTTTAATCCCCTTTTTTGAGGACAAACTGAACTGAAAACAATAATGTCCACAATTCTATGATTATTTTTAACAAAAGTAAACTCACCACTACTTCGAATATCCATAATCCTCCCATAATCACGAAAAGTCTTACACTAGCAATAATTCATGACAAACAATAAAAAACTTTAAAAAATTCAAATAAGATATTTGTTTTTGATATTAATGTTTTCAAATATCAGGGACCATTTTTTTGGATTTGTATGTACAGTTGTAATATCCATATTTTTTTGGATTTGTATGTACAGTTGTAATATCCATATTTTTTTAGGATTTGTATATACAGTTTTAATAGCCATACTTTTTTAAGATTTGAATGTACAGTTGTAATAGTCATTTTTTTAAGGATTTGTATGTACAGTTGTAACCTCCATCCGTCTCCTAACCTCATATGAAGTCACTTTCGCCTCTATAATCAGTGAGGTCATTTGAGGTTTTTATCTATCGGTCTTAGGAGACGACATTTTCCGTACATACAATAAAATGGAGAACTATGTTCTAGAGTAAACTTGATTGTAGGATGAATTTTATTGACATCATCCAGGAATTGATATAATTTCTCAATAGAATCTGTCCAGATTCCAAAACAATCATCCAGAAATCTTTTCCAGGTCTTCAGGGGGCACTCATCAGTTATTTTGTATGTATTTGCAAGTTTCACAATTTGATCATCAAGCTTAGCCATAAAAATGTTTGCATAGGAAGGGGCTGGATGTATTCCCATTGCTGTTCCTATCAATTGTTTGTACAGTTTACCACCAAATTCAAATATGTTATTTTTCAAACAAATGTTTAGCAGCTCAATCAAAAATGACGTAGGTACAGATTTATCAGTTCTGTTTTCAAGAGCTTCTCTACAGAATTCTAGACCATCATCCTGAGGTATATTTGTGTACAATCCTGTAACATCTACAGAGAATAGAATAGAGTTGGCTGGTAAATTATCTTTGTTAATTTCTTCAATACATCTCAAAAAATCTGGAG